ACAACTACGTGCTTTGGCATGCTTAGTTGTTTTAGCATGGTTTTTCAGAGCTTTTTTACCACTGCTTCCGTACCGGATCACGTCGTTGCACCATACACACCAAGCTTCTCCGGGGGACTTTCGCTTCCGAACATAGGTAGAAAAAAAATCGTCATTATTGTCCTTTTCCTCCAGCCAACTCCAACTAAATCTATTTTTGACAGTAATGTCGATGTTTCTAATATCGTCTGTTCCCCTCTCCGCGAAATCCATTTAGTTTGGTTTAGTTCAAAATTCCGCGCACGCGGTGTCAAAACTTTCCACATGGGTGCCGACATTAAAGCCTACATTTCCAACCAATCAAGCGCCATAAATAAATCACGTGCTACGGTTGTGACTAGATATTGTGTTGAAACGCAGCTCTGTCGCAATGGTTGAAATGCGACGTTCCTCTGACGCATCGTTCGTCCAGTCCGCGACCACGTTAAAAACGAGAATTCCGGAGCAAAATATAGTACCAGAAAATTTTATAACTGGACGCAAAAAACCGGAATTCCGGTAAAAACCGGAAGACTAGCATCCCTGATTGTTAAAAACAATAGGAGCATTCAAGCCACAAGCTACCCCAACCATGACCTACACCTGAGTAAATACACATCCTATACGTATTCCAATCCCACTGTGCCTCCATCAGAGAGTCTTGAGTGACACCAAGGTTTAAGATTTTGTCTCCACAGACTTTCCAAGGTCTACTATCACAGCTACAGGCAAGTATCAAATCAACATGAAAGATCACAAGTAAAATCCAGTGGTGCTCCCCAGTTTGTTTCCAATGCTCAGTGTAACAAATTTCCAAAAAAAAAAATTTTTTTTCTAGACAAGATTTCCTTAAAGGAACAAGGTCCCTTTCTTAAGTGCCTTAGTGGAGGGCCAGTGGGTGTGGAGAAGAGGTGAAATCTCAATTCATCTAGATTAAGAGTGACATATTCCCGTCTAATGACTTGATGGACTATGGGCCTGTTCAGATCCAAATTGACCTCTGGACAAACTGATCCATGGATCAAATATTGCAGACCCACTTGAAAGCTTTTCATGTAATCCCATAATGGATTTCCCGCTGGGATTAGGCTGCAAGCTTCTAAGTGGGTTGGCCCTATTTGAACCACTGATCAATTAGTACATGGATCAACTTGGTTCTGAACATGCCCTATCACGGCCATCTTTTGGGATGACGTTGCCTTTGGAGGTAGGAGGAGCATTTCATATCTGGATGCCTTGATAGAGGGACAGTGTGAGTGGAGGTAAGATGACCTCTATCTATTGACTAGTACACTACCCTTACCTCATCTTCACTCATGGATTCCCAAGGACTAGATTGCTGAAGCATTATCTGTAACACACAACAAATACAGGGTCCCAGTCTAGCAGCATTTGTATGATTTTGTAGTTCCTCAATAATTAAGAACATCAAATTTATACCCCTCTCCCACTTCAAAAAAGGAGCATTGATAGTAATACCTGTTTTAAAAGTTGATTGGCATTTGGGTCGAAACCACATTTTGAGTGTCTTAAAAATGATAAATATTAAAAAAAAAAAAAAACTGAGGCCTATGAAAATTTTAAGAAATCTTTTTTTTTTTATTTTTGCTGTTGTTCATAAAATCAAATCGCGTTTAATTAATATGAAATTTTTGTAAGTCTGCCATAAAAATGACATGATAGCACTTAGTTTTGCTTACTCACAGAATAAATAAGGGCTGAACTTATGACTGAGTGTCACCCTTACTTTGGGCACAAATGTGGTTAGTGTTTTGAAATGGATATCATACAAATGCAGAAAGCAGTGCCCAGATGTCCTTGGAAGGAATAGATATTCTATACTTCTGTTACCATCACTGAATCTCTCTCTCTCTCATCATGTATTGTATTCTTCATGATTAACAAATATGAACATTTATAATCAACAAAAATATTTGGATTTCGTTTTGTACAGAAAATAGCTGCAAAAATCTTAAATAAGAAATTCATTAAGAGAACCACTCAATTCCAAAGGAAAAATGCAGGTGCTCTTAAACTGATAATCCTAAACCTTCCACTGACATCTATTACATCTAAAAACCATGAGCAAAGCAACAAAAAAGAAAGAGGAGAAAAATAAAAAAAGGCAATGTTCACAACACCTCTAATTTTCTGATAAAGAGACTAGATGAGCTCACACTGGAAATCAACAAAGTTATTAAAAGAGAAATATTTACCCTTTTCAGTTCCTCGACATATCTGAGCATGGCTTCCTCTTTGGACAGGTCCCCCAGCCCATTCCAGGCATCCCTACAGCACAGAAAATTATCATACATATATCACAATAAAGACATACAATAAGCATAAGGTCTTCGTATGGTAAAGAAAGTTAGTTTTCAACACTTATCTCTTACTCAACAAGGTATACTGTATCCAAAATGGTTTTCAGAAGTATGATCCATTAACTCCTTTTCAGGCTTCAGTTTATAGTTCCTGAGTCTCTGGTGTATTGGAGAGAGACTTTTACTGGTGCCAGTAGTGGCAGTTGGATTTACACTTTTAGTGCTATCAAACCACAGAAATCAGTACTGTACATCAGGCACATTTCAAACATTTGCTGACTTAATAATTATTTTCTTTTTTCAGATTATCATTATCATTATAAAATTTGTCTAACAATTTTCATATTTACCATTTTGCTTTCTTGACCACCTCCCAAAAGGCTGGTCTTGGATGAGTGCATTTTCCTATTGTGGCTTGCTTGTAATAGGCATAGAACTTCAACATCAACTCATGGGATGGTTGGAATGATCCTGATACATTAGATAATGATTAATTTTATAAAATGAACACCATTTCTTGTTTCACTGTCTAATAAATTAATTTAATGAAATTCAAGTTGTGTTTGCTGCTTAAAAGGTTGATCTGTTTTAGTTAACACTCAGCAAAAAAGAACGCATTTTAATTAAATTTAGCAAAAAAAAAAAACAACAATTTTCCATTGACATACCAGCTCCCCCCACCAACACGGTGTCTCCCCCCACCCCAAACCCCCCTCTGAGTGTTGGCTCCTCACTGAACTGGATGTTTAAATCTTAACCCCCTACTCCCAATATGATCTTCAATATGTAATCGCTAAGAAAGATAAAAATGGGCAACGTGCTTCTTAACAACGATATTATGCTCAACAAGTGAACTTTGGTCTTTAGCCGGTGTGACGGGAATGGTAGTCTAGGTATTGTAGTCCGTCCCCCATTACTTTGTACAGGTGGCATTCGTCCCACATACTAACCGAATACTCCGACTAACCCTTGCCTGTATTAATCATATGGGAGCCCGAACTTCCATTCCTAGGGCCACCATGATAATCGCACCGTTAAAGGAACTAACAACACCCCTTGACCCCCCCCCCCCCCTGCATTGGACACCGTTGCGAACACGACGTGCTCATTTGTCAGTGATTGTGAGAAAGTGGGGGGCTTTCTTAGCATTATATATAATGAAATTTGTATCATAATATCCATGTATTCTTAACCAGTAATCTTAGCACTCTACTCACCTTCTTTAGGTAGATTTTGGATTACTTTTACAGCTGCCTCGAATTTTTCCTTTGCAGAGGTAGCCATTTTTGTTTACAATCTCGTTATGATATCGAGGTCACAAGGTCGGTGTCTTTGGTGGGAGGGATGCGTTTTACAAAACACGTATTGACAAAGCAGTTTGTACAAACTTATGTGTCTTTTTCTTTATAAAAATCAAAAGAGACTTTAAGGCAGATTGGTTTTAAGGTATATGAAAAACTTAGGGCTGAAAATGCTGTGAATATCAACTCGGCTAAGTTTGTTGTTTGAAATTAAAAATATTCGTCTGCTAGCTAGTGCGATACAAAACACGTATTGACAAAGCAGTTTGTACAAACGTATGTGTCTTTTTCTTTATAAAAATCAAAAGAGACTTTAAGGCAGATTGGTTTTAAGGTATATGAAAAACTTAGGGCTGAAAATGCTGTGAATATCAACTCGGCTAAGTTTGTTGTTTGAAATTAAAAATATTCGTCTGCTAGCTAGTGCTAAAGCACGCTTGTTACTTTGTGAAGCTTTGTAAAATTATCTTTGATTTTGCTTCCTTATCCTCTCTTGGCAATGACGTCAATGCATACGTTAATTAGTTAATTCGTTTATTGTACATGTGTTATGAAATAGCGATAGATGACAGTCAGTATAGGTTCTTCCAAACGTGGCTTGGAAACAATTTAAAGAGTAAAACTGGAAACTATTTTCCTTTGATTAATTCCACATATAGACACACAAGAGTGACTGCATGCCAAAGTAGAGGCGAGAAGCTCTGAATGTGAATTGACAGCAGTACATCAAGTTGTGCCAAACAAGACATCCCCCACCCCCCATTTAGACGCTGTACCACTGTACATATACATAGCAGATCTGAGTACTTGACGCAGCTCTGATGTCTGTGAAGACTGACCAGCAGTGGCCTGTTATCATCCACACCTCTCTGGAAAATACTGAGACAGGGAGACTGCTTAAACAACAGCATAAAGTCAGAGGTAACTGTGATATACTGTGCAGTTTCAAATTTCACTTCCACTTTTAAGGGACACTTAATTTAATTTAAATTCATAGAATACTTTTTATGTTTCTGCACAGTCATTTCTTTTTAATTTAGTCTTTATAATTCTCAAAAAAGAAAAGAAAAACAATTTCAAATTCCTTTTATTGGTTAAACAAATCCTTATTAAGTAAATTGTTCAAAATTTTACTAATCAGCATATGCTCCAAATTCTATTCATTTTTATGTTGTGGGAGTACTCTAGCTGGCTCTACTCTGGGAGCACTGCTGCAATATATTCTGGTCTGCAAGGGTTTTTTAGGTGCTTTACTTGGGTTTTAAATTTCAAACAAATTGGAGCTTTTTGTGCTATAGTTTCAGGCACTGTGGTTCAGAATAGCTGCATATTTCCCAAGTCTGGGATTGCATTCCTGATAGTGCCCCTCCAGGAGGCTGTCACTGTGTGGCCTATACAGGAAAAGGTACAGTTAGACCCAGAACTCACACAAAGGTGAGTGTATTATTACCTTTACTTTATTATACATTTGAACAGCCAGTATTATATCAATCAACCAACTAATTAATAAACAATTCAAATGAACAACCAGTCAATCAACCAATTGGTCAATTAATCAATCAATCAGTGATATAAACCAATCAGGTTGTTTTCATTTGTTTGTTTATTTATTTGATATCTATATATTTATTAAGAAATACAGAAGTTCTTTTAGGATGGGTACATCTGTGGAATCATTTGAATAACATTTTTAAGAAAACTTGAGAAAGCACAATTAATAATTGCATCATTATAAATAAAATACGTTTTTCTCCTTATGAAGAAAAAAAATTAGCTCTTAATTAATCATATCTATTTTATTTTTCAGGTTAGAAAAGTTTCTCCAAGTGCATGCTAATTGTTATGTTATTGCTACAGCTCCACTTCATGGCAAGGAAGAGCTGGCAGTGTTTTCTGTTCTACAGCAAAGGTAAGTCATTGCAGTAGGTATGCTGTGATTGTGGTAGATGTGCTGTGATTGTGTTTAGTGTGCTGAGGTGGAGTTACGTTAGGTGTACATAGGTCAAGGGAGGTGTACTTTGAGATGTGCTATATCGGGCATGCTGCCTGTCTAGAAGGTGAGTTTTGATTGAGGAAAAAGAGATGAGATTGCAAAAAGTGCATTTTGATTTTAAAAGCTGGAAAATAAATAATTATTATATAAGCTGTGGCCTTATTGTGTTAAGTGTGCTGTAAGAGAGGTAAATCTGTTGCGATTGTGTTAGCTGTACTGTGTTAATTAGTTTTGCTTTCATGTTCAGTGATAAATATGACAGTAATTATTACATAATTGGATATTGTAATTTGTATACTGTGGTTTATCAAAAACATGACTTGTTCAATATCAGCCTTTTTATTTAGTTTTCAGCATGTCTGTTTTTTTATCTTAAAGATGCTGTTATAGAATTTGTCTTCTTGTACCAGGTTTTTTGGCCAACTTCATATGATCCCAGCCCACAGTGCAGAGGAATGTGTCCAAAACATGCTCATATTGGCAAAGGTGGGTTTTATAAAGGGTGGGCATGGATTCTAGGACCATCTCCTTGGACATTTGACCATGTGGGAATTTCCTGTTGAAGAATTGTTCTGAGACCATGAATATGATGTAATTTTTATACATGTTTCTAGATCTGTGTAGCATGCTTGTTTGTATGATATGGTAATATATGTGTCCTTCTCAAAATAAGATCTTAATGATAAAATGATATTTTGATGTCAAGTTTTTTTTTTCTAGCAGATTTGCCAAGCAAAATTGAATGAAACTTGAGTGATTTATCCAGATTTTGATATTAGGACAACATATGCTCAGAAAGTTAAAACTTTTACAACAAAGAAATATCAATATTTTACACTTGAGGGTCTATTTTTATCATTTCCTCCAGATGACCTGTCCTCCTGTGTCTGACCTCCTGCCTAAGAGACTCCAAAAAATGTCTGCCACCCAGCTGGACGTAGAAGAAATGGTATTAGATCAAATGGTAGCTAACCAGATACTGAATCGACAAGATATCCTTAATCAATATAGACTGCATGCGTAATACACCTGTAGATTAGTCATGCAGTCCTATTTGAACATGAAAAAAAAATTAAATCCATTTTTAACTATAATAAACTGTAAATATTGTGTAAGTCTAAAAAATATTATATTATCATACGTTGTAAATATGTAAGCTGATAGATTAGCAAATTGTGGAAGACAGTGGGTCACATTTTAATTTTAAATATTTTACATTGTATGTGAGGCATATTGAGGCTTTTATTATTATATTAAAGCCTTGACCTAAAGGACAGTGTCTATTAGTGCTGGACACCATGGGCAGTGTTGGGGCCATTGTAGGGGCCAGTAGAGACCAGTTACTGGACTGTGGTCTGGGGAAACAGGCTGTGGACAGAATGATTAAGTTCTTTGACAAGGACTTTTGTTTGTAAGAAAAAAATTCAGTATGTTGACAGAAAGTTAGATTTTGTGTGGATGTATAGTATACTTTTTTTATTTTGTGTTTGTTTGTTTGTTTGTTTGTTTGAAGACTGTTTCAGGTAGCTAGTAGTACTCTGCTGACTTGATAACATTTGGGAGCCAGATTGAGGTGATGGGATAATAATTGAGCCTACTTGTCATGGCATTGATGAATAGATTGGTTGTGGCTTCCAGTTTCAAAATCTTACAATAGATGACATTGCCTGAGTCGAAGCCACGTGCTTTATTACTTGTCTCCTTTAAAACTGTATATGCCTGTCCCATCCATCTGCTGCCACCGAAGAAAGACTAATTTTCACAAGATATCTCTGTTTAGCCAGTAAAAACCCTNTACAGAAACGGCGAAATGTGTTGCGGCACGCGTTTGTATGGTGTTCATAATCTCAAAGGGAAATAAAATATTCTATTGGCAGCTTTTAATATTTTGCCTGTTTTCTGAGAGAAATAGTGAAGATTAATTTTATTATTATTTATTATCTTAAAAGTCAACCTGACATCTTATTTCCTTTTTCTTCATTTTTGTAAGCGGGGAATGTTTGCACCTACATCACGTTCACTTTTATTACTTGCATATATGTGTGCGTTGTGAAACCTAATAAGACTTCCTGACCTACTTTTTATCATTATCACAAATACGCATACAGATATGTACTCGTTTATATATCTGACGAAATTACCAGTGTTGCAGGCACAAAAATGCCCACACGAACACGCATGCACGCACGCACACACACACACGCATGAAAACTACTGTTGCTGTAGACACCAATATGCCGTCCCCACCCCCTCCCTCCACACACAGGGACACATGAGGTCAGGACTAGGGTCTGGGCATGATTTTCTCTTACACCTGAGATACACTAATTAATGATAGTATTAACAGAAACGTAGACTGAGTTTCACCTTCGTCTCCGGTGGAGGTGGCTTCACCCACCGCTCCACCTCTTCAAAAGGGATAGGCTTAGCATCCATCGGTAGCTTGTGTCGGACCAGCTCAGTTCGCGAAGAGTGTCCGGGGCAGTAGGTTTTGCCGGGTGTCTGGGCGTAGCACCGTATGGTTGGTCTCCTGAATACACGTACTTCCTATGATAACACGTGCTGTCTGCTGATATCGGCTGTGATATATCCTGGCTAGACTTTGCAATGTGCTGTTTAGTGTGCAGAGCCGTAGCTACGTACTATATTGATGGGAAAGGGGAAGGCGGGTGGGGGGGGGGAGGTCTGAAATGAAGAATAGTATCTTTTCAGTAAAATATTCTTTGGGGGTATGGCGACTTTTTACTGTATGTGTTATGAAGAAGAGAGAACTTGAGTCAATTTAGGCCATATTCATCGATATGTGTTGCAGTTTCAGTTCAAGGTCAAATGCTGAGCTTAATATAAATACATGCATGACCTAGCAACGAATCGTTTCGGGAAAATGGACTGTTTCTTTGAACGCAAACTTTTCCAGAGAAATGTGACATTATTTACCCGCAATTATGGATTTCGATCAACGAATTCAAACGAATAGAGCTGTCAAGTTCCTCATTTTTAGATGCCA